ATAGTGACTTAAATCCAGGGCTGGCTTCACCTTCTGACAGTTTTGATTAATTGATGATTGATCAAGGAATCCTGGGTTTGAAAATCCTATTTGGAGAGGTTCTGGTTGTACTTGGCTCCATGTGAGCCATAAACTATGCCACTAATTCAGTCACAACACAAGGTTCTTTTTAACTGCTTACAGACAGGAGAATAATGACAACATTTGAAAATACAGATAGTTCATTTCAAGTTATGAATGAAATTTATGAGCCAATTATGGAGTAGCGGAGTGTTTGAAAGACTAAGCAGCCACGTGTTCTCACTGCCAGTTTGTTTTTGTGCTGTGGAATCAGTCCTCCCTGAAGCTCTTGTTAATACAGGATCCCATAACCATATCGGAGTCCGACAGTACCTCCTGTAACTAACATAACAAAGTCCACATGCTCAGCTTCGGACTGTTTTGAAGAAAGATTGATGCTACCCAGGCCTACAAACTCATTGCTAAAGGACCGTTCACAGTAACGGGGCAAGTAGCGTGTGTGTCATAAATATAAAGGAAAGGGTAAACACCTTTAAATCCCTCCTGGCCAGAGGAAAAACCCTTTCACCTGTAAAGGGTTAAGAAGCTAAGATAACCTTGCTGGCACCTGACCAAAATGACCAATGAGGAGACAAGATACTTTCAAATCGGGACGGGGGGAAAAAAGGGTTCTCTCTGTCTGTGTGATGCTTTTGCCAGGACCAGAGCAGGAATGCAGGTCAGAACTCCTGTAAAGAGTTGGTAAGCAATCTAGTTAGATATGCGTTAGATTCTGTTTTGTTTAAATGGCTGATAAAATAAGTTGTGCTGAATGGAATATATATTCCTGTTTTTGTGTCTTTTTGTAACTTAAGGTTTTGCCTAGAGGGATTCTCTATGTTTCTCTATGTTTTGAATCTGATTACCCTGTAAGGTATTTATCATCCTGATTTTACAGAGGTGATTCTTTTACTTTTTCTTTAACTAAAATTCTTCTTTTAAGAATCTGATTGCTTTTTCATTGTTCTTAAGATCCAAGGGTTTGAGTCTGTGCTCACCTATGCAAATTGGTGAGGATTTTTATCAAGCCTTCCCCGGGAGAGGGGGTGTAGGGCTTGGGGGGATATTTTGGGCGGGAGACGTTTCCGAGTGGGCACTTGCCCTGTTCTTCGTGTAACACTTTGGTGGTGGAAGTGTTTAATCTAAGCTGGTAAGAATAAGCTTAGGGGGTCTTTCATGCAGGTCCCCACATCTGTACACTAGAGTTCAGAGTGGGGAAGGAACCTTGACTGTGTGTAACAAACAAAATAGGGTAGAAGTCTTTACATCTGTAATATCAATTGACTTGTCTCATGAGCTGTAGCTGTGACATGAATCTTGAAGACTGGAGTAGGGTGTGTGATTGATATTAGACTAGTCTTCAAACATAGATTGAACATTGAATTCTAATTTCGCTATCCCAAATCAGAATGTTACCTTCTTTTTAAAAAAATAAAAAGCATGGGGTGTTTTTGTTGTGAGGCGCAAGAACAGAAATATATTGTAATGCTGGTAAATCCCTCCTGTTGAGGAGTCTGACAAGCTATTGAGATATTAAGTGAGAGGGACTTCACAGTGGACATTTTGGGCTTCTGTGAGTTTACATTTGTAGTTAGAAATTTCTCATTTAAATCTTTATAAGATGGATCATTATCAAGTGTTATGTTTTCGCATGTTAAGAATCTTGATTTAAAGGATGAGAGTTGATAAAATTTTTTCTACTGGTGCCATTAAAACTTATTTCTGTGATATGTACAAATAGCCATCTAAAATTAATGCCTTCATCTTGCTCTTGTCACTTGTCCTTCAGGGCTGTATTTTTCCACACAACATTAGTGTGTGAATTTGGATAGGAAAGGGAAAACCCCAAAACCCAATTAATGCAACATTAAAGTTCTGACTTTCACTTGGTCATGAATCCGGAATTCAGCAGTACTGCTTCTAGAGCAACCTTACCTATGTCCCATTGAGTGTAAGCTGAGTAGTAAACCATGTTGCAGTTTCTTTTAAGCTTGTAATGAAAAACGCCACTGTGGGCCAGAAATACTTTAGAAATACTTACTGTTACCTTCCTGACTCCTCTGCACTTTAAAAATTTCTATTATAAGAGCCCATTTTACATAATTCTTATTAAATAAAAAATACCGGCAGGTTAAGAAATGCTATTCAGCCAACTGGAAGAGGTTTCATAGAAGACAAAATAGCAGCTGAAGTCTTGTGCATCAAATAAGGTTGACCTTGTGATTTCTGTAAGATTTGAGGCAGGGGAATGGAATTGGGTTGATCCACATGCTATGTGTTACTAGAGGTAATTACCCCTCAGTTGCACCACATCCCATATTCTGTAATTCTCTCTCACAGTGAATCTCCATAAGCACGGAGCCCAAAGCGGTTGTGTTTGTGTCAAAGATGGTTAAACTTGATCAAGTGGATGGAGATTGTCAGTTTGGTAAAAATAGTTTCAGTGCAGTGAGAATAAAATCCACTTTCCAATGGTTTTAAAAAAATAATTAGAGGATAAACAGCAAACAGCTTAATCCAGGAGTTAAAAGGGAGGAGGAGAAACCAGGATTGTGAAGTATGGATTAAAGCAGGGGTGGGCAAACTGTTCGGCCCGAGGGCCACATATGGGAATAGAAATTGTAGAGCGGGCCATGAATGCTCACAAAATTGGGGTTGGGGTGCAGGAGGGGGTGAGGGCTCTGGGGTGGGGCCAGAAATGAGGAGTTTAAGGTATGGGAGGGGGGCTCTAGGCTGGGGCGGGCGGGGGCTCCAGTTTGGGGGGGGGCTCTGGGATGGGGCTGAGGATGAGGAGTTTAGGGTGTAGGAGGGTGCTCTGGGCTGGGACTGAGGGGTTTGGAGGGCAGGAAGGGAATCAAGGCTGGGGAAGGGGGTTGGGGCGTGGGGAGTGGCTCGGGTACCTCAGGCGGCTCCCAGAAGCAGTGGCCAAGGCCCCCTACTGGCTCCTATGTGGAACTGCGGCCAGGCGGCTGAGTGCTGCCCTGTCTGCGGGTGCCACAACTGCAGCTCCCATAGGCCGCAGTTCCCAGCCAGTTGAAGCTGCGGGGGCAACATTTGGGTCAGGGGCAGCATGCAGAGTGGAGCCCCCTGGCTGCCCCTTCGCATAGGAGCCAGAGTGGGGCCATGCTGCTGCTTCTGGGAGCCCTGTGGAGCGGCCCCCAACCCTGCTCCCCGGCTAGAGCACTGGACTGGGGCAAGCCCCAGACCCCACTCCTCAGAAGGAGCTTGAGGGCCGGATTGAAACGGCTGGAGGGCCCGATCCGGCCCACGGGCTGTACTTTGCTCACCCCTAAATTAAAGGATACTTTTTTGGCTAGGTGCAACAAAAGTGCACGTGAAAATTGAAGGAAGGTAGCCTGTGGACAGCAAGGCAGAGATAAAGGAGAAGAAACTGAGGGATTGGGTCTGAAGAGAGACACTCTGGATGCCAGAGTAGAGCTGGTCAAATAGTGGGACAGAATTTGTATGAAAACCTAGTCCCTTGTTTTGTCAGAATTCAAAACCTGGACATTTAATTTCAGAATTTTAATTACCTGCTTGTGTGCGCTGTCCTGTATGTCACCTTCCCTAAACCATTAGACAGTGGTTTGAGAGGGAGGAAAAGTTCCTGTCATATAGCAACCTATGTGTTTTCCCCACACCCTTTCTTGAAGAGATTAGAGGCAAAGAACTTGCATAGCATGAAATGGGGCTAAAATAAGTGAGAGAATTGCAGAATTCTGGGGGGTATGGTAGGATTGAGGGATAGTTATGTCTAGTGAGAGAGAAGATTAAGACTGTGGGCACTTTTTAGGTTTTTAGAAATTATCGCACTGTGGCTTGGTCTTCACTGCTAAAAAAGGTAGGTATGTTTTTACCTTGGGGTAACTAATGCATGTGGAGCTTTTTGTGAGGTAAAAACACAGCTAAAACCAGTTTAGTTTAGTTTTACCATGAGGTAAACTCATTGAGATCAACCCTGGGAGGGGGAATAGAACTGTTTGGCTCGCAGTAAAACTAAATGCATGGTCTTCACTGCATCTGCACCTCAGGATAGCTCTTTGTGGTTAGTTACCATGAGGTAAATGACATCGACATAGTATCGAGTTCTCCTGAGTGTTTCATTTGAGGCTTACTCAGAACTTCATTTATAAGGTCAGGTAATTCCTGGTTTAAAATGAGGGCATTTAAAAAAACAAAACATGCAACTGAAATTCTGTAGCCCTATGGTATTCTAGTAGCAGATGGGTTGACTGATTACTAACTGGATTTCCCCTCTGTTCTTTACAGCACTTTATAAATGCTGAATTTTTTGCAAGGTGGAATTTGTTTTATAACTTGAATTTTTTTTGTGTATTTTTGAATTCTTAAAATTGTGACATTCCTCCTACTCTAGTTTACAGTACGGAAGAATGTCATCCTCATCAGATGCAATATTTTCAACAGTGTGCACATAATACTCAAAAAGGATATTAAAAGCTCAAATGGGAGTCTTCAGACAAAGGTTTAATATACCGTATCTGCTTGATCATAAGCCGGTTCATTTATAATCCAACCCCCCTCCCCAAAAGATGGAAAAGTAAAAATTGGCAAATTTTTATGGCCTATTCATAAGCCAACCTTATAATTCAGGGGGTGGCAAACTTTGGATCCCAGCCCATCAGGATAAGTCGCTGACGGGCCGAGACAGTTAGTTTGTTTACCTCAAACATCCGCAGGCACGGAGGTAAACCTAAGTAAACAAAATGTCCTGGCCCGCCAGCAGCTTACCCTGACAGGCTGGGACAGCAACTGGTGGGGAAATTTGCAGGGGGAGAAGCTGGGGGTCAGGGGAGTAACCCCTGTGACCACCCCCACCACATGACCTAACCCGGAACCTCCCCACATGACCCCTCCCCACACCACCCCATCCCTAGCCCGGGACCCCCACACTCTCCCCATTCCATCCCTTCCCACCTTACCTAGGGCAGGCCAGGGAGGATGTCTCTGTCCTGGCCGGAGCTGCTCCAGCAGGCCGGGCAGTGCAGCCGCAGCTTGCCAGCCCCAGAGCTGCTGCAGCTGCTTTGGAGGCTGGGGGGAGAGCAGCGTGGCCAGAAGTGGAGAGACTCTGGCCCCGCCTCTTCACTTCTGGCTGTGCTGCCTCTCCTTCCCCTCTCTATTTGGGGGAGGGGAAGGGGCTGTGTCCCACCTCTCCCCCTCTCTATACCCATTCATAAGCCCACCCCCTTTTCTGATGCTTCCCTTTTTTTACTAAACAAATTCGGCGTATGAATGAGTATATATGGTAAATATTCTTGCCAGGTTATTCTGTCGTTAGTTCTTTATGAATCTTGGTCAGTTCAATCTTCCATGCAAATACCTGTTTGGGCTTCGTTAGGCTGAGTGAAAACTAGAAAGCACTTGCAGGCCAGTCTCGGAACACAAAGCATGCCTGCTGGTTCTGCTTGACAAATCCCAACTGAGTATCCATCAGTTGAGAGGGATAGACCTGGGAACAACAAAATGGTCATTCCTTTCTTCGCTCACCTTGTGACCACTTCTGGGGACTCTTTGCTGCTTGTCTGTCTGGAGGTGTTCTTGTAGAACTCTTCTTTCCACAGAGAGTCATTGTGTTTCTGGAATTAGTCTCCCCTGCTCACCCAAATGTCTTTGAAAAATTAATCTAATCTAGTTACAAAATGAGTAGTCCCTTTCGTTTCCATATTGGTTGGTTCTCTGGAATTGAAATTACAGGTTCAGAAATCTCTTCCCTTGGAAAACATACTTCTGATGCGTCCTAGTTTCTCTAAGCACTGTGTCTCCACTAACAGCTTTTTGCTAATATTATTCAATGTTGTCCCCTTTTTCTTTTAAAAATATGAAATTTTACCATTTTAGGTCTTGTATAAAAATACTTGTGAATTTTAGACTTTCAGAGTTTGCTGAAAATCTTTGTTTTTATGTTCTTGAACAAAATTCTTTACTTACTGTTTTACCAATATGTCCTTTCTGTTATCCTAATTTTATTCCCCTTCTCCCCACCCCATCCTCTTTCCCAGTTTCGCCTAATATGTTGTTACTGATTTTACCTGTTTGTAGACAAGTATCTGATTTCTAATTGTTGTTAGTGTTGATGCTCATTTTTGCACTCTGCAGAAAAGTGTCAGTTTAGAAGCGCCCTCTCTTTCTTGCACTTCTCTTAAATTTCCCTTCAATCAGGGAAAGACTGGTCTCTCTTCACCAATGTAATTGATGACAATACCTGATACTGAAGTAGTATTCCTGAGTGTCTTTGGCTTCAGATTGGGTACTTTGTGGTTCTGGTCTAGAAACATTTATTATAATTGTAATTTGTGTATTCTCTGTGGTGCCTACCCACAGCCTCAACCGTTTAGCTCCAGATTAGGCCATCTCCGTTCCTTTTGGGCTTTCGCCAGCTCTTTGGTGTATGATAGTAAAGCTCGTTGTGACCTACACTGAGACCACTCCCTGGTCCTAGGTCCCAGTCCTTAGATTAGACTCTGGGACTGCAGTGTCCATGCAGTAGCAGCACTCATCCCTCTTCCTGAAGCTCACGCTGTGCCGTTTCCTCTTGAGTGGCATCCCCATCTGTCAGTGGCAGGAGGGCTGGTGGCAGGGAGTCAGGGCTGGGAATTTCTGTCAGCCCTCTAGCCAGTTAGGGCTTTTTGGGAGGCCAAAAGATCAACTCTTCTCTTCTGCTTGCCCCTTAACTGATCAGTGTTCACGGTGCAGGGCTGGCCCTTTCACAGCACTGCTGCTTACGTATGAATTGGCAGGGGAGATGGAGGGGTGCCATAAGGAGACTAGTTTTCTCCAGTTGTTAGCAGCAGAGGGTGAGCAGATCAAAGGTGAAGGGAGGGAAAAGTAAGCTTCTCTTGTCTGCCCACATGAAAAGGTATTAAAGGTAGTAATAATACCTAGCTTTTACATGACGCTTTTCATCAGCAGATCTCAAAGGAGCTCAGTATTCATTAGCCCCACTTTATAGATGAGGAGACTGAGGCACAGAGAGAAGTGATTTGCCCAAGGCCATCCAGAAGAGCAGCAGTAGAACCAGAAATAGAACCCAGGTCTCCCGAGACCCAATCCAGTGCTCTGTTCACTAGACCTTGTCATGTATCCCTGTGTGTAAATTTAAATTTGTTAAGCCAACTGATTGGTGACAGTTTTCCCCAGTCTTCGTTTAGTAACTGGCAGAAGGAAGAAAGTAGTTGTTGACTAAGAATAAACAAATTTCAAGCATTCCTAGACTGGGAAACCTGCTTAGCTTTCCAAAATCGTTCTCCTTGGTGCTCCGCTAAAAGCGTAATTGGCTGACATTTTGCATGTGAGAGATTTACTCTACTGGCCCACATTCAGTTATTTTGTGTAAATGTTTTTGTGGGATTTATAAAATACCTCTCCAGACCATGTATATGTGTGTAAACTCTGGACCATTTCTTTTGAGAGAGTAATAACTAGTATTAGCTGTTGTGGCTTTGGCATGGAGGAAGATTTAATGAGGAATTCAGTTTACACTTTTAGTTAACCTCATGAGGATTTTGTTGGTTAAAAACTAAATATCTGCTTTTTCTGTCATACAGCTGTAACAAGGAGCTTGGCTTTCTTATGATTCTGAAAGAGGATGCATGCTTTAATATTAAATGTTTGAAATAATTAATGTAACTTAACGATTGCAGAAGTGTTCAGATTCTGTGCTAGATCTTGCATGAGTAGTCAGCTTTAGTTGAAAAGAAAATTTAGCCAATATCTGTTCTAGATTATATTTACCTTGATAGATAAATAGTAGCAAGAGGCATTTTGAAATATAGTTATTTTAAAATTCATGCTATTACTACACATCCCTGCTGTACCCAGATGAAACATTTTGCAGATGGATATTGCAAGTAAATAAAATATTGCTGATTCCAAGTGTCATTGATCTTTATTTTTGTGCCAGTGAGCTGGGATGATGTGGTAGATTAGATTAGTTTTGGGAGGAAGAACAATAATCTCAGCGAGAGTAACTTTTTTCTTAAGCTTTTTGGTTACTTTCAGAAGCACGTCCATTGATAATCAGTGTTTAATAGAAAGGAAGATCCGAACTGAAGTATCAATGGAATGCAGATAATTTCTGTTGTGTTCTCCAAAGTGCACTTCCTTGTTCTGTTTTTAGTGTATGGCAATTCGCATTTTCATTCAAGGTTTAATATTCTTTGGAGCTTTTCCTTGGAAAGGACTGTGCACATTTAACCCAGCTGGTGCAAAAAGATCCACATCATATTAACCGTGAAATCTGCAGGTCAGTTTTGGAATTTCAGTATTGTGTGTAACTTGTACCTTGCTAACCAGTTTGGATTCTTTTGCTCGGTGTAAGTTTCCCTTCCTCAGGCTCCTTCTGCAAATTGCCATATGCTTTCAGATGAGAATCAGTTTTGTACCACTACATGACTTTATGTAATAATGTGAACAGGTATCAGTTTTTTTTTAAGGTGGACTCTCTTGTTGTTGATTAAATAGGATATATTTTCTTGAAAATTTGGGCCTCTCAGTGACTTCATATGAGATTATATTGTTCCGACTTCTGGATTCAAGATCCTTAATCAAAACTGGCATTTTATTTGAGTAATGTAGTCTTAAACTCAAAACTCAAATGATTGGAAGAATGCTTAAAACCAGCAAGTGTTTTCCGGTATTCACTGTAGCACTCAGTCTCTTGGGCTCACCTGTTGCTAACAGAAGGAGAGAGAACAAAATTATGTGATTCCAGGATACATTTTGATGTCTGGTCGTTGTAAATGTTTTGTTTTTTAAATCTTTCTTCTCCTACTTTTTCCCTGACTCTCAAGATGGGGATAAGTTTAGAAGTTATTTTAATTCTGAATTATCTATTTCAGACAAAGAAGTCTCAAATTTTGTAATGACTACATTTGCTATCTGCAATAGTGCATGATTTGGGTGGCTCTGAATTGAGCAATGGATTGACTTTTTTAGGTTCCTCTAGTTTTTACTATTTTAACGTTCAATTTTGGACGAGTTGCCAGCTGGACTTTCCATGGTGTTTTATCTTCTGTGTCACTAAACTCTTCTTCTTTTATGTTGGTTATATTCACAGACTTGCTATATTGTTTTCTGTACTGCTTTGTCTTCTGTCCTGTTGCTGAAATCTTTATAATGTTTCTGAGAAGATTTTTTTTTAAATATTTTTTTTCTCCTTTTTGTCTATCTTGCAGAATATAGTGGCTTATTAAATGTTTCCTGTATCTTAAAGGGAACTAAGGTTAAAGCTGTCTGTAAAATTTTGGGGCTGTTTCTTTATCTATTTGCATAAAGCATTATAAAAACAAATATATGCAACTGTTAATATCCCATTTATGATGTCAGTGCAAAGAAAATTTATTAAGTTACACTACTTGTTTTTTAAAAACTTCAGAATCAAACAAGTGTCAATATAGAAAGAATCCAGTATCCCGTAACCCCAAATATTCTAATCCCTGTTATGAATTTTGGCTTTTGGACAAATTTATGGACTTTTACACAATTTTACAAAAATGCAGTGTTCCCCATAATCTCAGAAATAAGGTTTTAACCATGCTAAAGGTTCTTATCAAGGTGGATCAGGAACGTGAAATTATATGTAGTTGTGGAGAGTGTCTGTCTCCTGTTTTACCAGATGCAAAAGCCGATTCCATCCAAATAATGGCAACTTCCTTGGCAGAGAGATTTCAGAGTAGCAGCCGTGTTAGTCTGTGTTCGCAGAAAGAAAAGGAGTACTAGTGGCACCTTAAAGACTAACCAATTTATTTGAGCATGAGCGTAGCTCATGAAAGCTTATGCTCAAATAAATTGGTTAGTCTCTGAGGTGCCACTAGTACTCCTTTTCTTTTGGCAGAGAGAGGGGAAGCTGCAGAATTCTGCTACTCAGGGTGGCACTCTGATCACCTTTGTATGGTTTCTTTAAAGACTACTTTTTTTTAAACACTGTATTTCACCAGCGCTTCCCTATGGTGGTAGTGCAATGCAAGTACTGTGTAAAGCCTTGAACTACTAGACAGCCATCAATCCTAAATCTGTGTATTGGAAATGCAGGAATAATTTGTTTTTAATTTGTTTGGGGTAGGGTTTTTTGCATCTTAGTACATTAATTCATGGCGGCTCTCCTG